CGTGCTGAAAAGATTGTTCGTTCTGTCTTTTATTGAACGAGGAAAAATTGCGTGAACGTGATTTCTTTCCTTTTTACGAATGTCAGATGTGCTGGCAAATTCTTCTATCGAGCTTTTTTCTCTGGGATCAAGAAAAGAGGATTCCTACGTTTATTTTCTATCGATATCTTTTTTTTCTCTTCTTTTACTTTTGTTTAACTTTCTTTTTTTTTTTTGCTACTTTTCGTATCGAAGATAAGATGAAAAAGGTTTCGCGTGCAATTCTTGAGAAAAAGCATTGACGGATTTTCGGAGGTTACAAAAGTGGGAGCTAGTACACTTGCCTGGAGAGCTAGTTTTCCACCAAAAGGGGATTTAAAATGGCGTCGAAAAGAGAGCGAGCGCGCGAAAGCTTTTCAGTTGAGCCTACATGTACTTACTTACTACACTCTCTCTCTACGAATGGTACAGACGTATTTATACATATGCATATATGTACATGTAGGCGAATTTCCAAAGTGTTTTTCATTGAAAGTATGCTTTTTCCATAGGGAAATGGTATAGATACTTTACAAATAATCAAATTTACTTTTGTTACCTTATGGTAGTTCATTATATTTTAATTATATAACGAATCTTAGGATTGAATTAATCTTGATTCCATCTTAGATCAAAGATAATATTCAGTTTTAATCATTAATACGTTTTAATAGGTGTGACCATGGGGATCAAAGTGAAATCCTAGGAACTGAAATCGCTTGCTAATATTTCAATAGATACAGGATAAGCAGGTAGTTATCATTCGTAACTGGTTTGCACGTGTCCGTTTGGTAGAAACGTCAACGTCCCCGGCGTCATCCTAGGTGGGAGACGTACACCGGACGGTTGGTCGCGCAAATCCGGATAATCCATGGGGGATTCGGTGTTGCGTCCGTGCCTGTCGTCGTCCGTGCGAACTTTATACGCGGGGATCCACCTGAATCCCTAGGGAGAACTCCTCTCTTGGAAGATCGATTGTTACAAAGAATATTCGTCAGCGTTGCTTTATGCCTTTTCCATCTCGTCAAATATGCTTTTTCTCTTCTTTCTCTTCCTTTCGTTTGGTAACAAACCCTTCTATTTTTTTATTTATTTTATTCTTCTATGTTTCTTTTTTAATTTCATTCTCTCTGACACATTATCATTTTTCCCCTCCCTGTTTTTCTGAAGGGACACGAAAAGTGAAAGGTTTTGATGGGTAGTACGTTATTCGAGTGGGGTTGGGAAGGACCAAGGAATAATTGAATAAAATTAGCAAGATAAAAAAGCAAAGTATCACTTTGGTCGCGTGTGATATGCTTTTTTCTATTTTTTTGTTTGTTTGTTATTATCTTCTTTTTCTTCTATACTATTTTCCATTTTATTTTGTATCCTTGTCTGTTTCTCGTTTAATCATACTTTATTCTCTCTCGTTCAGTCGCGATGTGCTTGCTTGCTTGCTTGCTTGTGTCCCCACCCTCGTGAAATTCAGTCGCACGGGGTAGAAGATTCGGTTAACGTCGGGGAAACAGGATAAGAGCGCATAATCGCGTTACGTTCTCTCGCAGCAGCAGCAACAGCAGCAGCAGCAGCAGCAGCAGCCGCCTCGAACGCGCTTCATCGGATGTCTGTAAGATTTAATGAGGCGAGGCGAGTCGACAACGATGTCGCACCGTTCTCGATACCGTTCTCGATTTCGAGCCTCTCACGCTGATGAATCCGATTTATAAGTATCTTACTCGATAACTCGATCCTATCTCTACTCTCTTGCCAAGCTAACTTATTATCATCTACGCTTCCTGTCTCACAGAAACCTACCTGATAACACATTCTTTCTATATTTTATTTACAAACAAATTGTCATCTCATTTTTTAGAAAAACGTATTTCCTGATAATCTTATCAAATGATAAAAATGAATAATTTTACTTTAACCAACTATTCTAACTGATTTTGTTCGTTTTATTGTTAATTTATCGATTAATACCTTTAATCCTAGCAATAATCTTGCTCATTATTTTTCCTAGTGTTTTATGGTAAAGCTATCTTAAAGCTTGCTATACTTGCCTGGCATCTATCTCCGTTCTTACGAACGGATACTCGCTCAAAATGAAGACGCTGATCCGGGTTGCCGGAAAAGTCTCGCGCGAATACCACAGATTACTGTGAAAAATGGCCGCTCGAAATTACCTCGTGTCTACTTAATGCTCTTCGCACTAATTACTCTTTCTCTCTCTTCCTCTTTCTTTCTCTGTCTTCCTTCTTTTAAGCTTCATCCCTTTTTCATTGTTCCTCGTCATTTCACGTCGTTGGTCGTCGTCCCTTTGGCTCGGTAGTGCCAAAAGACCCTTCCGTTCTTCTTTACGATTTCATTTCGAGCCGTTTTTCCCCTTATTCCATTTTCTCTTTTTCCTTTAAGAAGGAACGTAGACGAACGTTCGCGAGTTTAAAAGAAATTGCTGGTTACTTCGTATTGTTTTGCGTAGCCGCTTTAAAGCTAAGCGAGTTTTTTTCTCTTCTACCCATGGAAGAAGGAAGAACGAAAGAAAAGAAGATTAAATCTTCCTTTCCTACAAAAGCAGGGACAGTTTTCGAAGAAGCGAGCGAGCAAGCAAGCAAGCAAGCAGGCAAGCTTCATCGCTGGACACGCCGTTTGAAAAACGATAAAGAAAAAAGGGGGAAGAATATATCCATCCCTCCAGTGACTACTCCATTTTTTTCTTCATGTTCTTCCATTTTTGATATTTTTTGTTATCTATAAAGTTATACATAAATACCTACTCGTTGTTACACGATCGAATGTAAAGTTCATCCTAGTAAAGCGATCAGTATTAGGTTGAAACCATCAAGGAAACTCGAAACGTCAGTCGAAACGTCAGTCGAAACGTTAATCGTAGACACGATAATCGGCAGCTAGTCGATTGAATATCGTGAATGTTTCCATAAATCCATCTACGATATGTGATGCCTCATTATTGCCTTTATCCCTAACATTCAACCTATAGATCATCAATCTGTACGTCCAACCTATACGATCAATTTAATTGTATACATATATACGTATATACAATAGCGAAGCAGCCAACATCCAAATCGAAGATTCTTTAACGGAATAGTTGAACATCAATGCCGGACAAGGCGAGTTCCCTGTTCGAGTTTCGGTTCAATGATTATATCTCCATGGACATTCGGCTCTTGAAACCTCTTCGAACAGCGGGATCTATTCCGCTTTCGCATGCACGCACAGCGAGTCTACATTATTGCGGCTTATCCGGTATTACGCTTATGTGACGCCGGGTAACATCGCAGCCTTAAGCGGGCACGGTGTATCGAACACGGAATTACCCCATGAATTCAAGCCCCACCTACTCTGTCGAGTTTCTGCACACAATGCTTTCTCTACCCTCTCGTTGCCCGTACTTCAATCGACCACCTCCTCTTTTTCTATTTTTTATTAATATACAATATTATGCACGGTTACCATACGTTCCTTTATTCTTTTGTCAAATTATTCGATTATTATATTATATTATATTTGTGATAAGTTAATTTTGAAAAAAAAAAAAAGATAATTCTTTTATATTATTCTATGTAAAATGATCTTTCACAGAGGATATGTTCTTGGTAGAAATACTAAACGTTTTCTCTATTTCTCTCTTTCTCTCTTTTACTATGACTTATAGTACGCGACTTGTTGCACGTAGTGCACGCTCGATCGCAAAACGATTGTTTCCCGGCATTGTTAGATTACGACGGCGCATGCCCTTGCTATTAATAACGTTGGCCTGCGATAAAGTCTCGTCGAAAATCCGGATGGTCGAAAGGTAATTAAAGATCGTGGAAAACCGATAACGAACGATCGGAATGGACCATACTCTCTTTCTCCTGTAATAAAACCATCTCTCTTTCCGATTCACTAGCTTGTTCGAAAGTGTGTGCATATACACGACTTTAACCAAACCCCTTTTCTTCGTCGTAACAATAAAAACGCTTATGACGATCGTCCGATATCCGATATCTTCTTTGATAAGACAAAATGACGTATTTTATTCATGATGCACTATGTTTCAGCATTAAAAATTCGAATTATTCGAAAGTGACGAATTTGCCGAGAGAACATTAACGCAAAAATACGTTTGGGGAATTGAAACTTTTGCAAGCTACTGTATATCCTTTTATTCAAAGCGTATCGTACTTAATTAAACTCTCTTTGCCGCAACCACAAGGTAAACTCATAGTCTTACAATGAGAGCTGTATGGCGAACGTAGCACGTGATCTCGAGAATCATGTGAAGGAAGTGAACGGGGGTTAAATTTTGCGTTCGGTTTCTTTGGTAGAATACTCGCAGTGTTTTCCTACCAACGTTTGTACACCTCTCTCTTTCTCTCTTTCTGTGGTAACTTATGAGCTAGAGGAACGAATAGAAAATAGGAGCTGGTGGGAAGAGAAAGGAAGAAAGATAGATAGAGTTAAATTTAGATAGAAAGGGAGAGACAGAGAGAGAGAAAGAGAGAGAGAAAGGGAAAATGTAGAAAGCGGAGAAACGGTAGGAATGTTGTTAGAAATTCTACGAGTAACTTCTGTAATCAGCAGTACTCGGTGGTTCTTGGAACCGTCGCGAAATTCTCAGGCTGATCACGTCGTTATTTAACGAGATTATGTCGTTAACCAACAGGATCCAGACCGAATCGATATCGATTCGGCGATATGAAATTAAGCTGGCCCATTCATCCTGATTAACGAGCCTGGCGTGAGCCCGACGTCGTAATCGCATTTACATGTTTTCTTCCGAAATTCCAACTACCCTACCGAATCGAATATTTGACCGGTCTTTTTTTATTCTACATTCTATTTCATTTACTTTTATAAAATGACTGTTTATTGATTATTATACAATTTTATCGACGTTACTAAAAAAAAATTGATAACATTGCAAAATTACCAGTAATTCCTATTGCTACTAATCTTATCTTTAGAAACGATTTTTTTTTATAGTTTCTCTATATATACTATCAGAAATATAGTTTTTGCGTAGTATGTATTTAACATCTTAACAAGTACTGCCTTTGCATGAAGCGTCCATAAAAATTCGTAAGTAAATAATAATTATAATTATAATAATTAATTTGTATTTATTTGGAATTTTTTCTCTTTCTGTTCGATTAAATAGTTTCCTGAAGATTTTATTATATAAAATAAAGGATTGAAAATGACGAGATTGGACGTTAAAAACTTAGATAGTAATAACCAAAATACTGAGGCTCGTGGTTATTATAATGCATCCATTTGCATTAAAATAAAGAAAAATCCTTTGGACACGGATTTCAAGGATTTTCTCAAACTCGTACCTGCTGATAAACTTAAACCAATATTGGAAAAATATAGCGATGATGACAAAACATTAGAGTCATTTGCTTGGACATTAGGCTGGGAGTATTTCAATAGGGCACGTGCTTTACAAAACTTACCAGAATATAAAGCATTGGAGAAGTATCTCCAAGAATCAGGATATAACGGAATGGTAAAGTTTCGAATACTTCATAACGCTTATGGTCCGGAGGAATATGTACCACCATCACCAGTACGATTGAATTCAGAAGAGTATGCACCACCATGCCTAGTACGATTGAATTCAGAAGAGATTTCGGAAATCGGCATAAATGGTTTTCTAAAAGAATACCTTCATATTCTTCCATTGGAAGAGATTAAAAGACTTCACGATAAAAAAATGGTGGAATCTCCATCGTTTATAAAATTTAGTACTTGTATAAATTCCGATAAATATTATGGAATTGTTGATTCTCTTGAATCACGACAAGAGTACAAAGATTTCGTACAGAAATCAAAAGAAGCTGGAATTGATTTTGTCGCTATACAAAATCTTAAGCTTTATATCCTTGGTTTCGGGCCGTGAATTATTTGCAACAAATAATTGAAATGGGTCCTTATTCAATATTCGTTGAATATTGCCTAATGGCTACTTCGGATTTTTAGCAAATGGATGATCCTTTTGAAGAATATCATATATTCTTACAATCTGAGAAATATTCCATTTGAAGAGTATTACGATATGATGCTTTAAATAGTTTTCTTTGGAAGTTATTAGGGAAAGGTATATATTTTTGGGGATATGGAAAAGAATGGTAAACAAAGTAAATAGATATAAATACAGTTTAACATCGGAATATAATTATTAGAAGAATATTCGAATGGATAAGTGAATATAGAAAGAAAAGAGAAAAGAAATATAAAGAGGAAAAGTAGAAAAAAGAAAAAAAAACTAATAAAAAATAAAAATTAAGAATTTATTCATCACTGCGCAGGTGTGATAAAAAAAATTACATTAAAATACAAAAAATATTAAAATCAGAACGTTATAATCTTAAATTCTATTAATTAGGAATATTATTATCGTTGTTCACATGCGTAACATTCAAAAAGTCATATAAACAACATTAAATATAAGAATTTTGACAGATGACCATCTGTCAGTTTGAAGGCGAATTCCGAGGAAGACGGTATTCCGATCATATACTCGGTGTTTTTAAACAACAATACACATTCTCATCGATTATTTAACAATTATTTATTATTATACCAACATTTCCGAACGTAAGTTCGTATTAAAAATGTGTGTACTTGTTTATTGTTTTAGTTGTGCGCTTACAAAAATATTATAAACAAATTAATGAATAAGTCTCCTATTTCGTTACTTGCAACAAATTTGCGATCATTATAATACATATAAAAGAAACATCTTTTGTCAATTATACATGACTGTAATAAAATCACTGAAGAATCGTTTATTTTCTCTTTTGTTATTTAAAATACATTTCCAATTGATTTCTTGATGCAAAAAGTGAAACAATGCAATCGATTATCCACATTACGTTAAACAATTTTTACTTACCAACTTCATTCTACAGCGTCGAGCTTTTAGGTTATCGAAATCCTAAAATGGGGAACCTAATAAATATTTCCGTGTTCGTGCATTAGTCACAGTAAATTTCTTATCAACATAAACAATTTATATTTTAAATGATATTGGATTTAAAATTGTTTAAAGAATTTTTAAATAATGAACATACCAAGACATAAATCTAAGCCAATAATTTGTTGTATTGTGATTTCCTGAAAATTCCAGATAATATGATTTATTTAGTCAATTTTGATATTACCCCAATAGCTTCATTTTATTGTCCTACGATCCGATTGATTTTCAATAAATTTAGAATTCTGAGGTTTACACACGTCAATGAATTTTGAATCTGCAAAATCAAAGGTATACATAATTATTTTCATACAAATATTTTTTAATTAAATTCTAACAATGTTTTTATATTTCAGTGTCAATATTAATAATCGTATATATATAAAACAATTAAAAAAATATTGAAATATTATTAAGGAAAATGAACTAACTCGATAGATGATATATCTATCTTATCATCTGAAAAGATCAATCTATAAATAAAATAAAATGAATGAGTCAGTGATAATAATGGGTGTGGCCGCTGTTATGTCTGCTGTTTTCTTTGGTTTGTTAGCATACAATTTAAGAACTATAATGACGGACACGGATTTATCAAATTTATCGATGCTACGAGATCGCAGCTCTCTAGAAGAAGATTTTCGGGACATTTTGGGATTCCTTCCACTCGTCGAGATTCAAATGACTATTAATAATTATGTTCAATATGATGAGCAGTTAAACGAGACAGTGAATTTTATAAATGATCAAAAACGATTCATTTTTTCGGAATTACAAAGTATACCTCAAGTATGTCATTTTATTAACATGCTTAAGGAAAATGGATTGAACGTTGATCATTGGAGTGAGAGTATTGAAAGACTATGGAAATCTATGCCATCATTTGTTGTATCCGATGAATGTATTGTTTCGGGTGGTTTAACTGGTATGATTAGTAGAATATTAAAAATTATACCGAGAAACGAATTGCACATTTTACTTCAACAAAAATTAAGATATTCCCAAAGTTTTCGTAAACTAATCAATTATTTGAGATCACGATCCTTCAATGATCTTTGCAATGCTATGGAAGAAAACGCAGGTCTTCAACGACATTATTATTGGGCTAAAGAATCTGGACTTGAAATTGTTTTTGCGATCGAGTTCATTAGGAATCTGTATTTTTATCTTACCGAAGATCTTGAATGAATGTAATTGGATAAGCCGTAAGTTCCTAAAACAGTTAAATAAAACAATTATAATAAACAATTGTTATTGTTAACAAACGAGTCTGATATTTAAGATTATATTAATTACCATAACACTTTTATAATTTCTGATACTTACAAAGCGTATTTCTTACATTTATTCTAAATTCGTCTACTCTCGTCTAACGTCTACTTCTGTCGTTCCAATTTGATCGTGTTCATCTAATAACTATATTGTTTAATAATTGTTGTCAACTGCGTTAAAGCCTTCAACTTTTTACGTCATTTTTAATCTTTTCTGATTTGTCAGTTATGTGGCTCGATTCTTCACAAACCAATCACACATCAATATACCTATCCTTCTCATACCCACGTTTATCTATTATCTCTCTAGATTAGTATGATAGTAAACTAAGTAAAAAAATTTTTTAAAATTACTTGTATGATTCATTCTAGATAATAATCATTGATACCGAGTTATGCACAATCAGAAATTGAGATATTAATGCCATCTGTTGAAGAAACATGTGCACTAACTTGCAAACAGTTCATTATACCAATATAAGTTCATATAAGTTAACAATTAAAAGAAAAATCTTGATCACAATGAGGGGAAACCTCCCCATCATTTTATGAAAAATATTGAATGGAAAGGTCTTGTAGTTAGATACTTGAAAGGTTCGACGAGGGATTGTTTAGATGAAAACATCTCGAGTCTCGAAGGGTAGGTAGGTTCGGTTGGGCGCGCTTCGAAGGATGGCAGCAGGAATTAATTCTACTCAAGAAGATGTCCTCCTCCTCCAACCCCCATTGGTTTGTATAGCTAGGACACGTCGGTCTGAGCTTCGTGTTGAAGTCGTAGCAGAGTGTGAGAGAGAGAGGGAGAGAAAGAGAGAGAAAGAGAGAATCCAGGGAAGAGGGACTACTGGATAGGATTCAGTATGGTGCGAGACCAAGCGGCTCTCTCGCGGTGTCTGCGGCAAACAATTCCAATTAACTTGCTGGAATTGAAATAGGACTCGTCGTCGTCGTCCTCGTCGTCGTCGTCGTCGTCGTAGTCGGTCCGTCGACGCCCGCATTGTAGATGCCCCGACGTCGTGAACTAGCGCGTTCCTTTGGCCCTCACCACCTCGCCACTTCTTCCTCCTTTACTACCAACACCATCACCATCACCATCACCATCCTCTTCCATGTCCTCGCTCATTCTTCATTTTTCTTTCTAAGCGTGCGGAACTTGGTTATCCCACGATCTAAACACTTGGAATAGGAATAATTCTATATAAGTACAAAAGCATGGATAACTGTTTAATTCTCTTCTAATAAATCTAATTTATTCGATCCTGTCTGTGAGAGCTTAACAGTCTAGAGTAAATGAAATACCATTACATTAGGTGTATTGTAATTATTACCTACCTTAAGCTACCTTTACCTACCTTTGGAAACTTAGTTTGGAAATATCGTATCCGATTGTAAGGTTATAATTCAATGAAGGATATAAGATGGAAGTATATACTGTTTGGTTTAAGGAGCTTTCTTTACCGCGTGTAGTAGCTTTATAAGTAAATGGAGGTAGCCCGTTGAGATCTATTATCCACGTGGCATAATACTCGTCATCGTCGTCATCGTCGTCATCGTGCCGGGTAGTCATAAAGCACGCGAAACCCGGTACCGTACTACCGCTCTAGACAATACCCTTTCTGAGCTGCTCAGATATTGAAGACGCCCGAAAGCAGTGTGTACCGATCCTGGTGTGTACCCAACGTCTGGCCCAGCTCTCTACATTATTAAATTCTACCTTGCTCTTGGACCAACGACAGGGGACAATGAAGTTCTTTAAGCGTCCGTCACGTTGCCCGAGATGTGTACTCTACTTTCTATTCCTCCCCATACAAATCTCCTTGATCCTACGCACCAGCCTTTTAACGATTTACGTGTTTACCCTTATTTGCCTTCGTTTTTTTTTTTTTTTGATTCTTTTATCGATAACCTTAAAAAACTCTGTTTTACTTTCTTCAAATTTTTTCCAACTTTGATCCTAAAGTTTATAATTATGTAATTAAATTATAATTTTAAGTAGAGACCTGCAATACATTACACTCAATGCTATCTAACATAGAAGTATTCCTAATATTTTATTATCTAACTATTGTAAAATTATATCCTACGTTTAATTAGCTTGCTAAAGTGCTGTAACAGAATTGATATAAAGGATAAAGGGTTATTTTTCCAGAGAAAAATTATACAAATGAAATATTTTAAATGCTGTTTATATTTAATAGCTTCCAGATATAAGAAACAAAAAGTATAGTTTTACTTGCATAGCAAGTAATATACATTTATCATGTTATTAGAGATTATCAATTTTTATGGTCTAAAACCAAGAATACGAAGCGCAAGATCTACGAAAGCGTAATAGTCAATACCATGCTCCAAAGTTTTTTGTAGAAATTCTTTAAATGCTTGTTGTTTAGCAAGATCTTTAGACAATTGGGACATTTCCTCACTTAATACGTAAGAGCTGAACTTCTTAAAGGCTGCTGATTCCTTCAATTTTTTATTATGAAGTGCCTTAATTTCTTTCACTGGAAGTACTTCAACGAACTCTTTGATATAACCGCTCCATCCACCTTCCGAATCGACCAAATTATATTGACTAATAGTAGATAGTAAGAAAAGCGATGGTGGCACGTAGTCCTTCATTCCAAGTAATTGATGAATTATTTTAAGCTCACGAATTTTATCGAATCCTGATTCTTGAAGGTAGCGAACATATTTTTGATGTTCTGGTAAAGCTTCTACTGCGTAGACCAATTGGTGGAATTCGTCAGTCAATAACCAAAGAGTTGACGCTTCCAATTTGGAATCATTCGCATATTTGTCCATAATTGGACGAAGTTCGTCCACTGGTATAAGTTTCAGAAAATCTATAATATCTCTATCCAAAGCATTTCTTCTCATTTCTTCGTCATTACCCATATTGTCATTTAGTGGAATTGCAGAAACTCCAGCGACAACTAGTGCCACGAAGATAGTAAAAACGTACTTCATCTAGAAAATAATTATAACAAAGAAATTATTAACAAATACAAAACTTATGAGATAATAAGTTATTGAAATAGTGGATTGTACTTACGATTGTTGGTTACTGTTCAGAGTAGCTCAATACTTTTTGTGTTGCAAGTTTATGAACTGTAATGATAGCTAACTGTGAACATGTACCAATTTATATATGCTTTTTATCTTACGATAAGAAACAATTATAAGAAATTGAATCATTTAATCGCTAAATACTCAATATCTCGAGTGAGATATTAGCTACTATTACTGGAACAAGATTTAATCTTTTTTCTAAAAACTAAAAGTTAATGAAAGATTATTTTCTAGCCATGTAAATAATTGTTTACTACACTATTAATGGTACACTATTAATGGGTATGATTTGCAGAATGATACATCAAATACTATTTTGTTTCATGAATTAATAAAGAAAGGAATATTGTGTGTGTGTGTGTGTGTGTGTGTGTGTCAAGGAAAGGAAACATGTTTATTATGAATAATTAGACTTATTATATAGTTTAAAACATTTTATATTTTATTTAATGTCCAGACAGAATACATTTATAATAAGAAGCGAAAGATTTCATTTCAATATTTGGATAATTCATGGTTTGTAGCCAAGAACACGTTGATTAAGTTCCATTATCAAGTGAAAATCAATACCATTTTGCAGAGATACCTCCAGCAGTTCTTTTTGTTCTTTGGTTGCTCCAAGTGCACGTAGAATTTCCCTGAACCTTGGAGAACGCACGTAGCTGTCAAATCTAGCAAAAGCTTGCGATTCCTTCAATTTTCGTTGATGAAGTTCCTTGATCTCATTAACTGGAAGGATTTCGATGTATTCTTTAATAAAACCACTCAATCCTCCTTCTTTCGGTTCCAAATTCTTTAATTCTTGGGTTGAAAGTGGGGGTGGTACATAATCTTTCATTCCCAAAGCTCTGTGAATTAATTTGATATTTCGGATTGCGCTGAATCCTGCTTCCTCAAGAATTCGAACCAAATCGTTGTGCTCTGGTATGGCTTCTACAGCATATACCAAATTGTGGAATTTTTCACTCAAAACGAAACGTAAAGAGTGTCTTACTCCGGAATCATTTGCATATTTATATGCAATTGAACGCAATTTATCGATTGGGATGAGTTTTGCGAAATCAAGGAAATCTCTGTCCAACGGAGTTATACCGGAATTATTGCCATTAAATGCGTCCAAAAAATTTTCAAGTACATTCGATCGATTTCCATTTAATGAATTTATCGCTTTATCGTTATTTAATGGGACAGCAAAAGCTCCCACGACAACTATTGCCGCAAAGATCGTCAAAACGAACTTCATCTATAAATTAATTAATACAAATTTATAAATAATAAGTTACTTTAGAAAAGATATAATTGTACTTACGATTGATTTGAATTGTTTGGAACAGTAATAGTATTTTCTGTTGTACTATACTGAACTAGAATGTATCTCTGCTGCACAAGTTTGCAAATTTATACTCATTTCCCGCTAATGCAAGTTTATTCAGAAAAAGAAAAAATCGGAAAAACAATTGATTATTTATCTCTTGCGATAAGATATATCAAAATTATAGGAAATTATTATTTGATCATCGGCTACTTGAGATTCTTCGAACAATCTTAATCCATTGTCATTATATTGATAATATTAAAAGAATTGTATTTTTTTTTTTTAGAGCTTTCAAATAAACAGGAAACTTGTCTTCCATAACGATGAGGAGAATGTATATTAAAAATATTGTATTTTTAAATGTAAACAAAGAAATAAGTCGTTTGTTTTCCAGCAACAGGAATGTTTTATGGAGAATATTTGCTTTTTAAAAATAATATATCGCTTATCTTTAATAAATATTGGTTAGAATTCAATCTTAGTGCTATTACCTTAAAGGCTAAATAAAAATAGCCTTTTAGTATACAGTCAAGTTTTTTATTTCAATATTTACTAATCTATTTATTTGATTTTATGTTTAGTATAATATCGCGATTAAAAGAATTCTATGAATCATATTGGATAAAAAATGCTGATTTTTTATTATCTATTATCTGATTTTTCAATTAGTTCTAATGAGTAATTTGTTGTGTTGCTCGACTAATTTATTTTAGATAACAAGTGTGATAAACATTATATAAGAAGTTCCATTTCAGTTTAACTATCATTGCAATCATGGTTCATAGAAATGAATATTTTGAAGGAAAAGAAGGGATTTCATTTAGAATTACAAGAATGACTGGTAATTAAAGGTTAAGAACATTTTGTATTTTTATTAATATATTGCTTATAATGCATAAATCATCAACAATTTGTTACAATTAATATAATATTAAGATTATTTATGGTTTATAACCAATGATACGAGAGTTGAGCTCACTAAATAGGGCTAAATCGACACCATGTTCAAGAGCTTTTTGTGCCATTTGTTTGTACTGTTTTGTTGTGGTAAGATTCGTTAGGATCTTACGGAATCTTGAGGAACTGACGTAAAGGTTGAATTTAGCAAATGGTTGCGATTCAATGAGTTTTTTCTCATGAAGTTCTTTGATTTCTTTGACTGGAAGAATTGCGATAATTTCATTGAAGAGACCACTCAATCCACCTTTCGAACCGTTATCCATCTCCAATTGTTGTTGATCTAATGATCGCCGTTTTTTCGGAACATATTCTTTCATTCCCAAAGCTTCATGAATCATTTTAAGTTCTCTTATTTTGTTGTATCCAGCTTCTTGAAGAATTCGGACTAATTTACGATGTTCGCGTAAGTCTTCTACAGCGTAAACTAAATTGTGAAACTCTTCGCTCCTTAAATAATCATAGGAACTTAATATTTCTGGGTCATTTTCATATTTCTGTAGAATCGTAACTAATTTGTTCATAGGTATGAGTTTTATAAAGTCTATAAAATCTCGATCCAAGTAATTCAATTCTAAGTTGTTTTCATCGAATGCTTCGGCCAAAGTTTTCATTATATCCCATTGATTGGATTTAAATGGGACGGCAGAAGTTTCAAAGACAATCAGCGCCGCAATAAAAGCAAAAATTAACTTCATCTGTAAAGAAATTTTGTAAATATTAATAAATAATCATTTATTATAAGAAAAATTGTAATTATACTTACGATTGGTTATAGTTGTTTAGAACAGAACAGTTCTTTCAATATCTCTGTGTGAATTTCGAATGTCTCTCCACAGTAAAAATGAAGATATTTATACTCAAATGATTGAATTGAAAGATCATTCTTAAGAAGAATTAATTGGAAAGTTGAATCATAGTTATCTCTTACATGTGTGATAAGATAAAATTATAGAAAAGAATTAGTTAGTCACCGGCTACTCGAAATTTGACGAAAGATTTAATTAACTGTTATTGTACTGATAATATTGTATTGTATAATAGCCCACCATTTTTATTTCCAAAGAAATATATTTGAAATCTTATCTTTTTTTTTATTATATTAAATAAACAACTTAATTGTTTCCTAGAATCGATCTTCGAAAAATAAAGGCATATTTTGTTACGAAACAAAATTTAATTATAATAAGGATAAAATTAAGAGACATATACATAAGGAAAATAAACAGGAGAATAAACAGATAGACAAATTTTAGGTGCTATGTAATATGTTTATTGATCAATTAATTTAAGACGATGGTAATATTTAACTATTTACCAAATGAATAAAAATTTGTTGAATATTTACATGGTTATTACACCTTTACGTAAGAAACCAAGAAGCTCGTATTTGAAGTTTTCGAATGCTTGGATGTCAAGACCGTTAGCTTTGGTTCTTTGCAATAGCAGTTGGTATTCCGGTGTATGTTGTAATGCATTTTTCAATTGTTTGTATTCAGCAGAATGAATAGCGTTATGGAATTTAATGAAAGCTGGCGAATCTACGGATTTCTTATTGTGGAGCCTTTCAATTTCACCCTTAGGAATAAGATCAATCAGGTCTTCAAGATATTTGGCAAAACCACCATTTGCATATCCTTGTGGAAGTTCATCTTCGTATCTATGTGGTGGCACGAAATCTGGCATTCCAGTGAGTGCGTGGTAGATTTGGATTTCTCTTATTTCATTGTATCCTGCCTCTTGAATGAAAAGAACCAAGTCTTTGAATTCTTGCAACTTTTCTACGTTAGCGAGCAAAGTATGGAATTCACCACCTGAGACCCATCTCAAGGTTCTTTGTATCTCAGGATCATTTCTGTATTTGACTGATAGTTTTAAAATTTCGTTAACAGGCATAAGCTTTATAAAGTCATATATATCCTTGTCTAATTCGTTAAATTCCCAACTATTATCAAAGATATCCTGATTGGAGGAAACTCCAATTACGAGGACAGCTGCGAAAAGTACAATGCACTTCATCTGAAAAAAAAAAAAATCATTTAATGAAATAATTTGATATATGCTGTCAAGCATTTTATGATTTGAAAATAAAGTATTTTATTATCAGGTTAGAAAAATGTTAGCAAATGATACGAGAAAAATAGAATGCATATATTTGTATGTACATATGTACGTTTGTGTGATTAAAGATAATCCATATGTATGATTGTACAAATATTTGCTGAGATAAGTATTACAGTTATTTTTTTTTTTCTATACACTAGTAATGAAGTGGTGCCAGTCACGTGCAAATTTTAAGAGTAAAAACACAATTCTTTTTTAAATAATATACTGTAAAAGTAGTGTATGCACTTAATATAATTTAGTTATCTGTTTTAAAAGATTCCTAATTATAATGAAAGTAAGTGAATAATTGTAGTTTAATAAAATTTATTTTTTCAGTTTGTTCTTAATAAATGAAATAAAAGAAGGTATGGTACTTACGGTTGTTAAATAATTAGAAAGTCTCCACACAGAAAATAATTTGAGAGTGTCTTGACTACGAAATACAGTGGCTTATATATCCCAAATTGGCCTTGATATTAAAGTAATATTAGGATAAATTTACCTATTAATTGATAAGATAAAAGTTTATTAAGATAAAGTTATATAAGAAAGTTTTGATCGATAATAACAGTACTTCAAAATGTGGATAGATTTTCTAATTACACGGATATAGACAGGCCAAAAATTGGCTAAAAATTGTTTGTTAGTCTGTCTTTTCATATTTTATTATGTGAACAATAAAATTATACTACTAATATATCAAATCTTATTCCAAACTTTTTACTAAATCCTTGTCGAATTTCGTTCAACTATTATCTCTGACTATTTTCCATTCGTCAGATTCCTGAAGATACTCTACACCAGTTGTAAACTCAAAAATAAAAAATATTTCTTCTTCTTAGATTATCTCCTCATTTAAGTAAAGATTTATTAAGTTTTTGATATAAAATATTCAGTAATTACAAAGTGGGTAAAGATCAGAGAAAGCAAATCCTATAAATATATTTATGAAAGTTGAAGTACTTGTATATTAATCAAATATAAATATCAATTTTTCGTCAATTTTGTATTTTTCAATTGAACCTATTTTGCAAATTTTCGATTGGATATCAGAGAACTTTGTCTTAAAGACTTCTTAATCTTCCAAAAACATGTTACATAACAGAAATGGATATATTTATATGGGGGTATAAATAAGTTTCAAAGTTGTTCTAGAAAATTACACATTTATTTATAACAAAAAATTATAAAATATTTAACATTTAAATATTTTCGTGTTATTATTTGTAACCTTATGCCATCTTTCGTTAAGCATACTAAACACAGAAGTAAAAAAAAAAGTTTGATCTTTTGATGCGATAGTCCGTATATTGTTTTTTACTCCAATTTTTTGAAGTGTATTTAAGATAAAAAGTATGCATTTAATCTTAACGCGAGATAGTAGGGAAGAACAATGTCCGAAATATAATCCAAGTGCTCTCAAGCATTTCGTATCAAAAACCAATAACATTTCTTAGACAGACTTAGCAACGTAAAACTTAGGCGTTATCGATAAACAATTTTTCATAGGTCGCAATTGACTTTAGCAATCAGCATCATTAGTTGTATGGCAGATAAATGGCATTAATTTCTAAGAAAAATTATTACTGTTTCGTCAGATTCTTCTCACAATGGTATCAGCGTATGGGACTACTAACATAAATTACTTTTCGTCATAAGTTTTAATTTTCCATTAAAAAAAAAAAACTTTATCTTTTAGATAGATTTAAGCACTTTTGATTCTACGTAAAAAACATTACCTAGTCTTGAATTTGAACTATTAATTCTGAACTATTAATTCTATTTAATTGTAAGGTTATAAATGCGTGACGAAGTTGGGATAGATGTTGAAAACGTAACGACACAAATCGAATACAAAGAGAATTATAATACATGATTTGATAAAAGATTGAAAAATTTATTATTTTACATTTTTTGTATGAAACAATAAGTAAGAAAATCGATTAATATTATTTCTTAATCATAGACATATATCAGGGTCTTATAAAATAAATATCTTCCAAATATTATTGTTATTTATAGACTTGGATATTTGGGAATATTAAGTCCAAGAACGGTTTGGATAACTTCTCTGACGGCCTTGACATCGAGACCAGCTTCATTGGCTCTCTTAAGGATGTATAGGAAACGTGGGTTGGCATATAAGGTGTCGACAATTGTTTGGAATTCTTTAGAGGAAAGGCGTTCGACGAGTTCTTTGAAAGCCGGCGAAGTTTCCACTTTTTTGTAGTAAAGAGCCTTCAATTGTTCATTTGGCATAAGTTTCTTGACATCGGCGACCAGACCCTTGTATCCACCAGTGATTCCATAGAATGACGATGGTGGCGTCAATTTTGGAATGTGAATGTACTCGTGTAAACGATTTACAAGGTAGTAAATGTCTACTCCGGCACTGTATACGTAGTTGTAAAAGGCAATTACTTCGGGTATTTGTTCATTTTCTTGTACCAATTGTTTAAAGTCCTCCGTTTGCACGTATGCTAGTCCTCTCTGTACTTCTGCATCTTCTGCGGCATATTGCAAGAAAAGTTGTACCAACTTATTGGTTGGAATCAAATCTACAAATTCCTGAAGATCCTTGTAAAGTTCGCCTCTACCAAGGTTTGGTACTTTCCAAGCACTGGCTGCAGCCACGATTGCTACTAAAGCTATTACGAATTTCATCTGAAAAGATAATTTTAATAATTATTAGATTTTTATTTGTTTTCAATGAAAACTAATAAGTACTTTAATAATTATAAAAATTGAAGAAAAAACTTCATGTGTTTAGATTTGATTTCTTTCTATTTTGCATAATTATTATACAATACTTACTTTGGTATTGTGTTTCGCACCAAGTACTTAGGAAGTATTGATACTTTAACAAGAACTCAAGCGACTTTTTATACACGTAAATTCTGATTTCAATCATTCCATTATCCAGTATCAGATAAGATAAATTGCTCAGATATTTGATGAATTTCATTTGGGGCATCGAAATAACAGATCAAATTCATAGATAAATTTTTTCACGTAGAGAAGAACATATCAAAAATGCAATGCGAATATACTGATACGAAAAGACAGAAAATATTTCTAATATCGTTAGAATAAAAAAAAAAACAAATAATTCAATCTTATCATCTATCTTATTTCGTATCATTTTTATGATCACGTATATTATTATGAAATTAGAAATTTCTGAAAAGTACAAAATCATTAGAAACTGATTGCATAATAAAATCTAATTAAATTCTAAAATTCCCCTTAACATGAAAGTTAATCTAGTTTTTATACTCTATCTGTGTCAATTAAAACGATAGCACAATAAACTAGAATAAATTATCGAAGCATATGTAAATATATTATAACAGTTTAGTATATTAGTGTAACACGTAGAAAGAGTTAGAGAAGGATACTGGACGAAGGGGGAGTTTTGTTAACGCATAAAAAGTTTTGCTTCGTTGGATGCGAAGAAGGAAGAAAGAAAAGAAAAGAAAGAAGGAAGAAAAAAAAAGGTTGGTGAGAGGGTGAAATGGTGAGGGTTAAAGGCGGTGGTTGGGTTAGAAGGGTGGTGGGGTGGTTTAAGGGTAAGAAGAAGAAAGCAAAACGGTAGCACGTGTTGCGAATAGTCACGACTCCTTCCTAGTGGTCTTTCGATAAATAAGAAAGAAGCGATGTTCGTGCAGGTGGCGCTAACTTTTAAAAGGAAAGTAAAGGATGCCTCCTAGCTACCGGTTTTCTCGCACTGCCAATCGAAAGAGTTTTGCAGTACCATTGGAACAGCTGGATACTAAAGAGTAACAAAGTAAAACAGAGGGATGAAAACGAGAAGAAGAAGAAGAAGAAAAAGAAGAGAGAATGAAGCAAAATAGATGAAAGAGAGGAAAAAAGAAAGAACATAAAAAAAAATGAAAAGGGAGGAGAAGGAGGAGGAGGAGGGAGGGGGTCAGAGAGATAGGGAACAGTGTTTCTGTAATTAAAGTTGTTACAATTTAATAAGCCTCGGAACTCTTAGCATCGTCGTCCTTAGTCGTCGTCGTTCGTCGTAATAGGAAAATCAAGAGGTAGAAAAAGAAAAGCTCGCGAGAAAAACGAGTAAAGGAGTAAAGAAAAAAAAGGAAAGAAAGAAAAAAAAAAGAAAGAAAGAAAGAAAAAGGTTTAGCTTGAAAAGGAAAACGAGCCGACATCATTTCATTGCCTTAACCGGAAAGATAGTATTCGCGATCTCTTAACTTTTCCACTCAATGTAAAACTCTAACTCTCGTTTCTGTGGATTCTTCTTCTTTTTCTTCTTTCTTTCTTTCTTTACTTCCGTCATCTTGCTTTTAATAATTCGGGTAACGTTCTTTCGTTAAAAGTTTAACACAATTTCATGATGTTTCTCGTTCACTTGGTATGCTCCGATCGATCGATATTTTTTTTTTTTGTATCGACAATTTCATTTATATTTTCGTCCTTTTAATTATCTAAGGGTAATATTATTTTAAAAGATAAGTTAAAACGATAAAGAGAAGGCGCAGGAAGCAACAGACTTTGGTGAAAATTACGAAAGAAAAGGTTCGTGATATCGGCGTTATAATCATTTCTGAAAAAGCCGGAGGAGGATTCCGAAGGAAAGTTGAACTCGCAGCAAGACTGTAAGCGCGAGTAGTAGTATCAAGTTATTTTCTCTAGCCGGCCAGGCAAACTTTTGCAGGATATTATGGCCGCACGTGGTGGTAACAGCCTGACGTGCCGGTCCCATCGTTACCGATATAACGACCTCGAGGATTTTTGCGAAGAAAAAAAGAAGAAAAAAAAACAAAAAAAGACGAAGCGTGGTTAGGGAAAAGAGTAAGGAGAACAAGGGGTTGGATTGAGTTGGGGGGTAGAAATCAGCTAAGAAAACTCTGTTCTTACGTAAACGTGAATGGGATCTCAAAATGAAATCGTCGAATCCTCGAAACTATGATTTTCTTTTCTCATCGATTCTACAGTTCTATTTTTATTCTATGAGTTTTATCTTATTTCCAATTTTCTATCATTTTTCTACAATATATATATAGTGTATTGTATTCCTTTAAATGAAATTTATTAATAGGTTAATTTTTATTTTCTATTATTTTCTTTCACACTTTTGTTTTTTATTGAAATGAAAAGATTACCAGTTTAATCATTGTTCTCGATAAGGAAAGAAACTCATTGATAATGATCGTATTGAATCTTACATAATCAAATGAATTTATCGATAAAACGCAAGGAAATTAGTGCACAGGTGTTTTTTAAAATCAACTGACACATACGGTTGATAAGTTATTGTCCCATGTAATCGAGTTATTACATCTTATCAATAATAATGTACTTTGTATGTATTTTAATCGAGATCCTGCTCAGGAAAGGGAACATTGGCGGTATTTTGTATTTTTGGCAATGAACTTTCGAGATCCTAACGTCATAATTAATAATAATAATAATAATATTCTATTGGATAAAAAACAAATGAAAATTTATTTTAAATGCATTTCAATACTTGAACTTTGAATGTTGAGACATCGTCATACGTGTCGTATCATTATTGATCTATTATCACGTATTAAACGTAAATTCACATTGATAAAATCGATCACCGATAGTTTAAGAAAAAAGAAGAAGTAAAAAGGAAGCTAGAACGATTTCGTGGGTTCTAGGGGGAAGTCGTAGAAAATGGTTGCCTGTAACAAATCCTTCGCGTGTAATCGAGGTCGTGCCTTGGCTAAGTTTTACTCTCGAACACTTAACTCCATTGCGATTGGATTCTTCCAAGAACGAGCCTTTAACCTACCTCTCTACCTCCATTTCCGGTTCTTGGCTTCTTTTCTCGATTTATTTCCTTCTTATATATCTTTTTTATTTTCTAGCCCTGTTTTCTAGGGCTCTCTTTTCTTTTTCTTTAATTTATATTAGTGAGGAACGATTGGATACACATACATACACACAAGTACAATATTATACGTACTTCTAATTTTTCTTTCTTTCTTAAATATCTTCTTTTATTTTTCTTTCTATCTATTGAAAACCGTCTTCTATCTTTCGATCTAATATTTTTATCTTTTACTTTTATAAATATTTCTTTATTGGAAAAGAACGATTAGACACGTAAGTATAATATTATACGTTTACTATCGGTGCTTATAATTTTAATTAAAAGTATTATTATTAAATAAAGTTATTATAAAAATATCCAAATACATATTAAATAGTTACAAAATGATTGAAAACATTATTATTCAAATCCGATCACAATCTATTTCATAAAGCAATTTGGAAAAACAAAAAATCCGCCGATCAATATCTGTATACTCAAAATAATCTAGATTTGTTTTATCTTAACACGATGACCTATGTTATCACAAACAGGTGTTCTATCATCAACGATTTGAAAAAGAGATGAAAGATTAAAAACAAAATTATAAATTCATATTCGTTGTAGCGTAAGAAAATAGATGGAAGAAGATGAAAAAGAGGGTGGTTTTGGATAGCATAAGCCGCACTACTCTTCACAAGGCTAACCGGGTGCCCGTGAACACTGGCAAGGGGTTCACTTGTATTTCAATGTCGTGGCATCCGGTTAGGGCGACGAGTGATGTGGTCTGCTACCCTCGTACATCCGGCCGTCACCAAACACTGTGCGTGTGCCCTCTTGCTTTCCCTTCACCCTCACCCAACGTGTTTGCACTGCTTCGACTTTCCTCACCAACGTTGTACTGCACTAACCCTCACTGTCATGGGGTAACTAGTTAATGCTGGTCTCTCTCTCTCTCTCTCTCTCTCTCTTCCTTCCTCTTTCATTCTTTTTCATTCTCTCTCTCTCTCTCTCTTTCTCTGTCTTTCTTACTCTATAGATCTACCACAAAACCACGAAAGCTGAAATACACTTGCGCGAAAGCAACATGCACCTCTACCGAACTGCCTTTCATCCCATTTAGGATGAAAAGTTACTTTTCATTTTGTTCAGGATTATTATTTCACAAAAATACTATATTTATGAATTACATATTTGATCCAAATTATTAGTATTATTAGATTAATTATATGTAACGTGTGTATGGTTAGAGTTTGGAATAATTTCCCATTGATTATTCGATCTTTGGAAATAAGTTAAGAAGTTAAGATCGAGGATGATAATGTAGATACATACTTGGCCCTCTGTGATCACGTTATATCTATATTATTGATGTACCTATGCATTGTTTAGTTGTGTCTACGACAGGGCCCCGATAACGAGCAAACTTTCGGCCACGGCCACTCGAGCAAAGTAATTATGCTCGTATTCCACGTCTAGTTACATTAATTAACGTCGCGGTAGCAGGACCGTAGCCGTAATTCTCGCGAGTTATACGAGGATCCTCGAAAAGGCCCTTTGTAAGGGTGACACGCGTGTTTATATTGATGACGAGTAATGCAGGACGCATAGTTACAGTGTATCACGATCCACCATCTCCCTCTCTCTCAATCTGGATATCAAATGATACTAGGAAACTTCATGTTTGTATTTTATTATTAGGACCTGCAAAGTTACTGAAAACTAACTAACGCGTGTGTAGTACTCATCCCTTTTGTCATACTGCATTTCAAATTAACTAATTACCTATGAACTTTCTAAAGTATTAAATATTATAGAAAAATGTTTTTTCGATATTTTTTATTTCAAGAAAACAAACGAT